GTTCAGGAATTTCTTAATATCTACCGATGTTCCATTAATCAAATTTCCCCAGTAGACCATATCATATCCACCCTCACCAAGAATATTCTCTTTTGAAAATCTTACTTCAAATCCTCCAAAAGTAGTGTTTCTTTGGGTGATCCGACATGGGTGCACCTATGGCTGGCAACGGAACCGGAATTGATACTACCAAACCAGGACTGACCGGAACCGGAATGAAACCGGGCACCACAAGCCGGTACCGTACCAGAATCGGGACAGACCTGTTAGCAATTTGTGTTTGAAGAACAGAATTACTGATTCCAACAAAATTTGCAGAAATACGAAGTTACCAAAGTCCAAGTAATCAGTAAGAAAGATGATCATAAATTAATTCACAAAAAACTAAAATATGTAAACGTACCAAAATCAGGAAACTTAGAACAGGAAAAAAATCAAGCTCAATGAATGCACAATGTCTAGTATCCGAGGTTTGATTTGGAATATGTTCTCTCAGGATAGAACGATCTCAATCACCAACGTATTGATACTTAAGACTCTGGAGTCAGTGAACCACTCAACAACAGTAAAGTACACGAAGAAACTTAGAAGGAGAAATCAGAAAAATTTGCAACGAAAAAATCTGAAGAATCAATGTATCTATAGACAAGAGGAACTAGTTCTGAAAGGTTGCAATCTTTTCAAAATCCACACGAACATTCATGAAAGTTGCAATCTTTCAAACAGTCATTGTAGTTCCTGAAAGTTGCAACCTTTCAGAACGGTCACTTTCAACGGCGGAAAATTAAATAAAACGGGAAAGAATTTAAACAAAATGGGTTGCACACGGATCCGTGTTAATTGAAACGTTTTGGTTAATTAACTAAATAATTAAAACGTATTTGCCATTTAATTTAATTTAATTTGATTAATTAAATAAATAATTAATAATCTCACGATCGATCATTTTCCAAAGTCAAAGCCGAAGCCGAGCTAACGACGACGACGACGCTAGGGTGTCCCTCTTTCCAACCCTTTTAACAATTAATAAGAGTGTTTCTATATTTAAACTCTCCTATTTTTCTTTCAACCAGCTATGAGGGACAAATGTTTTTTTCACTAAAGCATAAGAGGACTTTTCAAGTTCCTCTCTTTTCATCTTCCCTCAATTTCTCATTAACTCTTGCTACATAATCGGTAGTTCCGGATAAAGGAAGGAGTAGCCGTCCCGATCCGCTAAGGAACCGGGACAGGAACGGACCAGCTTAGCGGGACTCTAATGGCTACTTTTTTTTAAAAAAAAAAAATTAATTTAAAAAAAATTAATTATTAAAATTAAAAACAGGCTAACTTTTTTTAAAAAAATTAATTATTAATTAAATAATATTAGAACTTTTATAATTTCAAAGTTAAAAATTTATACTTTTCAAACTTTTAAAATGTGAAATTTAAAATTTTTATAATTATCGTTTGAAAGTTTGAATTTTAATTATAGTTTGAATTTAAATTTAACATTTTATATTTATAATTTGAAAGTTTGAATTTAAATTTAAAATTATATACTTACAGTTTGAAAGTTTGAATTTTACAATCTTTCAAACTTTAAAGTTTTACAAACTTTTAAACTTTAAAGTTTAAAAGTATAAAAGTTTAAATTTCTATGATCTCAACGGACTACCATGAAAAATTTCAGCTTTGGGAATTTTGGATCACAAAAATTTCATGGACTATATCACACGATAATCGACAAAATCTCCATATAACTTCTTTGTGGCTCATTTGAAATTGAAAATGCGCTTGTGTTCCGTGCGGAAAGAACTTTGTCCATTCCTAAGGTCTTAATGGACGTCCAAGAAAATCTTTTGCCATTTCGTTTCAAAAATTCCCGGTCACAAAAATTTCATGGACTATCGAACACGAAGATCGGTAAAATTTTCGTATACCTTCTTTGGGGCTCGTTTAAACTTGAAATGCATCTGTTTTTCCCGCGTGACGAACATGATCCATTTCTAAGGTCTTAACAAACGTCCAAGAAAAAAATCGGTCATTTCGTTTTGGGAATGGCAGGTCACAAAAATTATATGGACTATAAGACACACAAATCGATAAAATTTGCGTTTACATGCTTTGGGGCTCGTTTGAACTTGAAAATGAACATATTTTTCTATGGGACAAACTAGGTCCATTCATAAGGTCTTAAAAGACGTCCACAAAAAATTCTGGCTATTTCGTTGTGGATATTCCGTGTAAAAAATATTCATAGACTATAGCACATGAAAATCAAAAGAATCGGCGTTTACTTGCTTTGGACTCGTTTGTACTTGAAAATGCACTTATTTTTCCCGCGAGAGAAACTAGGTCCAATCCTAAGATCTTAACGGACGTCCACAAAAAATTTCGGCTATTTAATTTTAGAAATTCTGGGTCACAAAAATCCATGGAATAACACATGAAAATCGGCAAAATCTGCGTTTACATATTTGGAGCTCATTTGAACTTGAAAATGCGTCTGTTTTTATCGGGGGACAAACTAAGTACATTGCTAAGGTCTTAGTGGACGTGCACGAAAGTTTTTGGTCATTTCGTTTCGAAAATTTCGGGTCACAAAAATTTCATTGGACACGAAAATGGGTAAAATCTGCGTTTATCTGCTTTGGGGCACGTTTGAACTTGACAAAATGCGCTTGTTTTTCCCACGGGACAAATTGGTTACATTCCGAAGATCTTAACAGACATCTACAAAAATTTTGGCTAGTTCATTTCGAAAATTCTGGATCACAAAAATTTCATGGACTATGAACACAAGAATTGGCAAAATCTGCGTTTACCTATTTTATGGCTCATTTAAAATTAAAATGTGTCCGTTTTCCCCGTGAGATGAACATAGTCCATTCATAAGGTCTTAACGAACGTTCAAGAAAAATTTCGGTCATTTTGTTTTGGAAATTGCGGGTCACAAAAATTATGTGGACTATAAGACATGAAACTTCGCAAAATCTGCGTTTACATGTTTTGGGGCTTGTTTAAACTTAAAAATGCATCTTTTTTCCCCACGGGACGAATTAATTTCATTTTCTAAGGTCTTAACATACGTCCACGAAAAATTTTGGGTAAAAAATTTCCATGGATTATACCATATGAAAATCAGAAGAATCTGCGTTTACCTACTTTGGACTCGTTTGAACTTGAAAATGCACTTGTTTTCCTGATGGGATAAATTGGGTCCAATCCTAAGATCTTAACAGACGTCCATAAAAACTTTCGGCCATTTTGTTTCAGGAATTTCAGGTCACAAAAATTCATGCACTATAGCAAATGAAAATTGACAAAATTTGCATTTACCTACTTTGGGCTCATTTGAACTTGAAAATGAGTCTGTTTTCCCGCGGATAAACTGAGTACATTCCTAAGGTCTTACGAATGTCCACGAGAAATTTCGGTCATTTTATTTCAGAAGTTCCGGGTCACAAAAGAATTCATAGACTATTGCACATGAAAATTGGTTAAATCTGTGTTTACTTGCTTTATGGCTCGTTTGAACTTGAAATGCGTCGATTTTCATGCGGGACAAACTGGTTACATTCCAAAACTCTTAACGGACATTCCCCAAAAATTTCAAAAATTTCGGGTCACAAAAATTTCATGGACTATGACATAGGAAAATCAGCAAAATCTGCGTTTACCTGCTTTGGGGCTCGTTTGAACTTAAAAATTCATCCGTTTTTCCCATTGGACAAATTGGGTACATTTCAAAGGTTTTAACAATTGTCCACCAAAAATATCGATCATTTCATTTAGGTAATTTCCAGGTCAAAAAAATTTCATGGACTATATCACACGAAAATTGGTAAAATCTGCATTTTTTCTACTTTGGAGCTCGTTTAAACTTGAAAATTCAACCGTTTTTCTCGTGGAACAAACTTGGTATATTCCTAAGGTCTTAATGGATGTCCACGAAAAATTTTGACCATTTCATTTTGAAAATTTTGAAAATTCTGGTTCACAAAAATTTCATCAACTATAACACTCGAAAAACGACAAACTCTGCGATTACATGTTTTGGGATTGTTTGAGCTTGAAACGTTGTCCTTTTTCCCCACGGGATAAAGTGGGTACATTGCTAAGGTCTTAAAGGGATGTCCACAAAATATGTTGGTAATTTCATTTCGAAAATTATGGTCACAAAAATTTTATGAACTATAACACACAAAAATTTGACAAATTTGCATTTATCTGCTTTGGTGCTCGTTTAAACTTGAATATGCATCTGTTTTTCCTGTAGGACAAACTGAGTACATTCCTAAGGTCTTACGTGACATTCAAAAAAAAATTTGATCATTTGTTTATTTTTTTTCAAATACACCGTTTCTAACTAAAGCAAAACAACTATAAGAACATAACCAAAATTAAAGTCTAGACTATGAACTCAAAGAACCTAAGATGATCCTAAGAATAAGCAAAATTGGATGGAACAGGAGCTAGCAACTCATGTAATTATTCTACTAAGATTCATGTCACGAAATCCACCTGATAACGCTAATGGTGGATCCTAGTCCTTTCTTGCATATGGTGGTCAGTCTGGAAGGAAAGAAACAATAAATGTTTTGAGAATATTACTAATCCAATGTAGATGGTAAAAGAAAACTGCATCAATACTTTATATTTTCGGTGTATAGAAGAGGGTATAGATGAAGTATAATAACTTCTAGACTTCTTGGGCTCTCTGTAATTATAATTATTTGCACTGTAATATTTTTGATGGTTGACAACATACCCACATTGTAGAGGAATATAACTTTACCTGGCTAAAATAAATAAATATATACAAATAAATTCAAACAACTATATATGAGCACATATAACCAAAACTAAAACTAAGCAAATTGGATAGAAGAGGAGCTTGCAACTCATGTAATTATTCTACCAAGATTCATGCCGCGAAATCCATAAGACAATGCTACTGACTCACATCTAAAACCTATCCAAACTGAACCAAAATAAATTCAAACATATTCAGGAGCTAGACAAACTATTTTTGATCAAATTGAACATTAGAACTTGAAGCCTCACATCATCAAATAGCAATTGAGAACAATCAGATGTAGATATACAACAACTAAGTTAGAAGATGCGTAAAGAAACGTAATAAGTACCCAAGAACAGGAATACTACAAGATTGAGCAAAATTTCCATATTTTGAATAATGATTACAACACTTAAAACAGAAATCGAGCCACACTTGGAGAAAAAGGTAAACAATCAGATTTTACAGCCCCATTTTGAGAACCCAGAACAGTTCCAGCAGATGAAAGAGGTAGACACACTTGGAGACGAGCTATCAATAAAACCTATGGGAAAAGTTAAAACGAAACAAAGACGAACTACTATCATAACCATACCAAAATAAAAATTGGAACACCAAGACATCATATATGCAGGGACAAAGAAGATTATACGGTATCTTTTAACACAGATAGAAAACTATCACGATCAAATCGAAAACTACTACCAAAAGCGCAAATAAGCAGTGGAGCGATAAAACATATAATAGGGACACTTAATATTGCGACAGAATGAACGACAAACCAGCATGTTAGATCATTATATAGATAAGAAGTATAAAAATAGACATCTTTTATCAAGCCACACGTCAATATAAGAGAAAAATAAAATCACAAAGGGAGACCATAAGATAGAAGAAAAGATTTGATCACGAAATGAGTCTACATGTGAAGAGTTTCAATCAAGGGCAGGGGATGTGGTCCTAGTGGAAGCTTCTTGTTACATTTGTTGCTTATTGCAGACAAACGGACCAAAGTGCAGGAAAGTAGCAATCCACCTACAATGGCGACATAATCAATTGTTTTCTTCGTTGAACTAGCTATGCCTTTCTGCTTTCATTATTATACACCCCCTTAATTTCAATGCAATAAATATGTTATTCCTTGGTTGGAATAAAATGTAGGATTTCCAAATAATTTAAATGAGGCCATATGAAAATATCAATAAAAATAATAATTGTACTACACTATATTATTGTTGTTGTTTTAACAAATCTTTATAAATATGTAGTAAATAATTAAATTCAACATTAATAGTCACATTCACGCGGTAAATAAGTGACAGTTTTGAGCAATAAGATGACATATCTGTTTGGTTGGGGTTAGCATTGATTCGGTCTGAAAAATCCTACTTTAAAGGTAAGCGGGCAACCTCTTTATTGCCAATACTATCAGTCAATCTCGATTATATTGCCTAATTTTCTCTCTTTAACCATCATATTACCACAAGGAAAAGGTTAAGGTGTGCAGTTAGGACCCTGACAGCAAAGTTATAAATCAATTTAAAGCCAAACTTTAACAAATCAAGAACAAGATATGACGAGTTAACACCAAAATAAGCATGGATAGCATTCAAGTAATGCGATAACACAAATCACCCTACGAGATTAAGCTAACATAGATGAGAATCTATAACAACGAAAGAGAAGACAACCAAGATAACAATCAAACAAATTGTACAACCAGTGCACTCAAGATCACAACCAAACAAACATTAGATCATTTCAAGATTTAGCTAGCTTTCAGAACATGATTATGCTACATCAAAGCCATGAAACCGATTCAACACTTTACATACAACATGTCATGTCCCCCCACTTCATAGTTTAAATATGACACCGAAATAAGGGGAAAAATCTAGAGTTGTAAGGAGGTTAGTAGAACACTCTATAATTCGCTAGAGAATTTTCCAAAAGACTCCAGAATAACTTAGAAGCTTTCTTGTAAAGCTTTAGAATTTCCTAGAATTAGTAGAGAATTCTAGAACATGGACTAAAGTGTAATAAGTAGGGACTTGTAAAGTAAATGATATTTTACACTTAGGCCCTTGTGAAGTAGTATAAATAGAAAAACTTCTCATTTGTAAGGCATTCAACCAAATTGTAAGCAATACACGTCTTCTTCCAAAAGCTTTTAAGTCTTTCATTACATTTTCTTAGCGATCTTAGTTTAAAGGGCTTACTTAGCTTACAAGATTGTGAAAAAATTCGTGAATACTTTTGTCAAGTGCATCACGGAACATAAGCTCGTGATAACGACTCATAACATTCTTAGTAAAACAAATAAAAAGAAGGCGAAAAATAAAGAAAAACGACTCATAAAATTCTTAGTAAAACAAATAAAAAGAAGGCGAAAAATAAAGAAAAACGACTCATAAAATTCTTAGTAAAACAAATAAAAAGAAGGCGAAAAATAAAGAAAAAGATACCTCATATGGAGCAGCGATCCATGACGACACAGGAATAAAGCAGTAGCGTCAAATGCTCGAATAGAAGAAAAACGAACTCCGATTGTGTATTTTTGCCTATATAGTAACCTTCTCCTTTGTTTTTCAACTCTAATTTTTATTTTTCAAACCTTTTGAACGATGAAGTAAGGAGGTTTATATAGGTCAAATTTGGGGTGGGGGAATGAACGTTAGGATGGGAAAATTCAGAACGTCCAAATTGTTGTGGATTTTAACGATGACTTTGGGTAATTGACTTTAATGAACATTCCCTATTGTTGGGCTGAAAATGGTGGACTTGGTCGGTTGGTATTGTTGATTGTTAGAATTGGGCTGGGTTGGTGGAGGTAATGAGTTGCTCTAGGCCTGTTTTTGGTATTCAGCTAAAACATAATTGATTAGTTTTGCAATTTATGAAAATGTCTAATTCAATAGCAAACTTAGCAGAATTGGATCAAATAAGATGAATTAATATAAATTAATTAATAATTTTTTTAATCTTAACCAAATAAAATATATATTATTTTAAGATTCCAAATGTGACAAAATTATATAAAAATAGCTATAAAATGTTTTGAATTTCATAAAATATGATATTTTAAATCGTTTAAAGAATTTAAAAAGCTCGATAATTAATCTATAATGTGGATGGTAGAAGAAATATTTGGAGCACAAGTTAATTACATGTTTATATAAATGTTTTACTAAAAAAATCTAAAAACGGGGGAAATAACTGAGGTTTATTAGTTTGGTTTGATTTATAAATTTTAAAATTCGATACAAATGACTTGGTTTGATATTTGAAAAACCCGAATTAATTCAAAAAAATCCGAGGTTGAAAACCCCCAAAATTTAAAGTTTTAATAGTTTAATTTGATTTATAAATTTAAAAAGTTGAAAAAAAACAGTTTGAATTGATACTTAAAAAATCCGAACCAACTCAGTCATATATTCAATACCTTAGATAGAGAGAAAATAGGAAAACTTACATAAATATACTAAAATAAAGAAATATTTACCATTTATAGCAATATTTTTTTTTCCACTTGATCAAGTTTAATTCATTTATAATACAAGTTTAATATATATTACAAAGAATAATTTTTTTATTCACATAGAAGACAAGTTTTAATGATAGACTATAAATTTATCACACAATTTTAGGATAAATGACATAAATTCCGCCTTTAACTCTTATTTATCATTATCTCTCATTTTTACGCATCAGATTAATGTATCAGCGCATCAAATTAATGTATCTCGCGCATCAAATTAATGTATCAACGCTTATATTATTGTATCAGTTTGAAGGATTTTTGTAATTATAAACTAATAAGGGACAAATGATAATTTTGCCTTAAAAGTATGTGATTTCTATCATTTGCCCATAATTTAATACACTTCTAATACATTGTGACAAATTTGTACCAAACAAACATAATGTATTTTAAAAAATACAATTTATTCATTAAAATGTATCAATTTATGTATTTTTTCCCCAAAAAAATACAAACCTAAAGGAAGGCCCAAGAAAGCTAATTGGACCATGCCACGGCCCGAAGGTGAGCCGAGCCGCCTGCCAAACCATCACTTTAAGCATAACTAATTTGGCATATTAGCATATCCATTCTTTTATTTTATTTTATTAATTAAAAAAAAGAAAACAAAAAAAAAAACCATCAATAATTTCATTTATAAATTTATTTTCTAGAAAAACAACATAATTCATCACTATTCACGCTTTAACTTTTTGTTTCATCAAAGAAAATCCTTTTCCCCTTTGACTTAAACCAATAATTCAGTTTTTTAATAATTATTTTAATTAAGTGACGCCTCACTATTCTCCTCTTAACCTTTTCTTTTCTTCCGTTTTTAATTTTTCCTTCTTCACCTGCAATATTCTTTTCTTTCTTTTAATAACTTACGTCAAAGCTTTAAGTATTTCAATTTATTTATCTTATTTTTAAATAGTTGAAAAATATTTTTTTAAAATCATAATTTTTTAAATTATTAATTATTAGAGTTTGTAGTATTTTTATGTAGTTTTTATATTTGAAATTTATTTTTAAAAGAGGTTTTATATTCAAATTTACATCGAACATTAGTTAGTTTGATTCATATTTTATGAGATTGTTTGGTAGCTATTTAGAGCTATACATGTATTAGTAATAGATGAATTAGTTATATGATAAATCTATACATTATTTTATATAGGCTTTAATCAGTCATTTACTATTATTTTGTTTACAAAAATAAAAATAACGAAAAAAAGATTTAATTAATCATACATTATTAGTTATACGTATATTAATTATTCTATCTTTTATCTTCCATAAAATAATACTAATAGATTGCCTCATAACTTATATACGTTACTTAGGTAAGTTATTAACTAGAAAATGAAACATCAAATTAATCTTATGCATAATTAACTTGTTTTCTAATATTTTTTTTAATACTTAGGAATATATAAGAGTTAAACTTATATATATCAACTCAATACATACTTGTCATATAATTCACGTCTAAATCAACTACTAAACGATGTTAGACAGGAGGTTCATCCGAATTCTATTGACGAAAAATTATACTATTTATATATTGTTAATAATATTTTATGTATATATAATAACGTCCAACCCCTTTAAATTATTTTGTATGTCGATTTTTACGAATTATTGAATCTCCTTATTAAAAATTTTGGCTCCACGAATGATGCTATATATTATTATTGGTGCACAAGTCATGCATCTTTAGATTCTCACGTGCAAGCTCACGTGAAATACCTAACACATCTCAGTTTTCCCCGTTTTATTTTTTTCAATTTCTATAATATTCTTTGAATATCAACAAGTGTAGGCCTCCGGTATTTCAGCCCTCCATTCCAATAAAGACCCCTCCTTCACTCCTCCATTGTTTTCTCCACTACACACCTTTTTGCTCTCTTCTCTCTTCTCTCTTCTATACCGCTTAAGGTAAGTTCTTTCTCTAAATTGATGAAGCTTTTGTTGTGTAGATCTGATTGATTTACTAATTTTTTGTTGTTTTTGTGTGAAGAATTTTTAAGATCTGAGATAATGGGTAGTTCAGGAGATGCATGGAAATTGAAGGACCATCCTAAGCTTCCTAAGGGAAAGACTGTTGCTGTTATTGTTTTGGATGGTTGGGGTGAGGCTAAACCTAATGAGTATAACGCTATCTCTGTTGCTGAAACTCCTGTTATGGACTCACTCAAGAAGGTCTATTGGATTGGATTTCCTTCTTTTTGTGTTAAAGATTCTTGCTTTATGGATTTACGACTTGTTTATTTATCTGGGTTTTTGTTAAAATTAATTATAGGGTGCTCCTGAACATTGGAGATTGATTAAGGCACATGGAAATGCTGTGGGGCTTCCCACAGAGGATGATATGGGTAACAGTGAAGTTGGTCACAATGCTCTTGGGGCTGGAAGGATCTTTGCTCAAGGGTATGCGCTCTTTTCTTATAATCTTTTGTTTGCCTTTTGAAAAAAAAAATATGTTTTTACTTTAGAGATCTTGTAGGTTGTTGAATTTGAAATGTTGTTTTTGGATTATTATCTGTTAAGTTTGTTAGAAATTGGGCTGCTTAATGTTTTAGTGTAGTATAATAAATGCAACCAAGTTACTATGTCAATGCTTCCAATCAATATATTAGGAACAAATAGATCCTTCACATTTTCACTCCTTTATTGGCTTCACAATTGCTGTACCTCTGTACTACTCCCGCATCAGAGTGCAAATAGAATATTTTTTTAATACTTCCTAGTTCTAGCAACAATCGTGCTCAAGGACTTCTTTTTTTATTTGCCTGATTGATTTTATGCAATATCTGGGTTAGGGAAGCTATTTTAACGCGGGTTTGTATTTTTTTGTCCAAAAGTGTAGATTGTTGCTTGTTATCGTCTCTAATGTGTTTCCTTGCAGTGCAAAGCTTGTTGACCTAGCCCTTGCCTCTGGGAAAATCTATGATGGAGAAGGTTTCAAATACGTTCAAGAATGTTTTGAGAAAGGAACTCTGCACCTTATTGGTCTCGTGAGTGATGGGGGTGTCCACTCCAGGCTTGACCAACTGCTGGTACGCCTGCCAGTTTTTAAACAATAGTGTCATGATTGATTATGTATTGCAGATACCTAATGTTGTCGCTCATTTTGAAAATCAATAAGAAGTTCTGTTTTCACTTGAATTTAATTAATCAATTTTTTCTAATGCCAAAAGATATGTATGTATAATCTTGCTTTGGTTGCAGTTGCTACTGAAAGGTGCTGCTGAGCGTGGTGCCAAAAGAATTCGTGTCCATGCCCTCACCGATGGACGTGATGTTCTGGATGGTTCTAGTGTGGGCTTCATGGAGACCCTCGAGAATGATCTAGCAAAATTACGTGGACAAGGTGTTGATGCCCGGGTTGCATCTGGTGGAGGTCGCATGTATGTTACCATGGATCGTTATGAGGTAAATTTGTGGCTTTTAGATATGCACCATGTTAGATTTTCTTTTCAATAATGTTGGCTCCTGCACCTAATACTGTCGGAAACTTCTAATGCCCCACATAAAGCATAGAGCAGCCTTCATTTCAGTAATCCATTGACTTGTTTGGTTAATATTATTTTGATTGAATTTCGTCTAGTTATATTTTCTTCGTCTTGGCTGGGTATATCTTTGATGTGGAGTAAGATTATTGGATTAGTTCTTTGATTTGATGCTGTCTGCTGCCTCTTGTCACTGTCTGCACTCTGCTGTCATAATTTGTTTGTTAAGAAGTAATTCGATTCATCACTCTCCAATCTTAGCTTTGTAGTTTGTTTTTTCTACCCCTTCCACTATTTCTGATATCAACATTTCATCTTTGTCATCAACTGTTGTCTCCCAAAGAAATTGGGGCTAACTCAATTTCGAAAGCTAGCTCATGAAGTTGATCAAAAACATAAAGTTAGCTCATGAAGTGAGGAAAAGTACGACTTAAAAGATTACAACCCATTCCCTCACCTGATGTGGGACATTCAGACACCCGGTCCGCTAGGTCTAAACAACTAGAGCTTGAATAACACATATTGGAGGCTCAACATTGAATAACCAAACAGTAGGATGGATCTTGCTTTATACTACACAATGTGATAAGAGATGAATATGGGAATTCTGAGCTTGAATATCCCTGAAGGTATCTTGGTTTAGATAGTGGTGTATACGAAGGTTGGATAGCATCAGAACAAACATCATAGGATCCTCTAATATACTAACGATCTCCCTAACTTATCTAAGTGATATATACAGTAACATCCTCAATTACAGTTTTTTACATAATAATATTCTTGAATAACACCGTAAACACATAGCTGCTTATCAAAAACGAAAAAAAGCGGAGTGATGCATATACTTTTGGGGAACCACCATACTACCTTGACATAGATGTCTTCTGTTGTTTGAGATATAATCTGATTCTTATGGAGTGTTT